TTTTATTAAGTCCAAAAGCAAGGCACACTTCAACATATTTAATGACCTGGCGAGTTAACGCTTCTCATATTCAGTAAGGGTTTTCCCTCTTTCTTTTTGGCCATTTATCCTTCAAACTTATTCATCAGTTTTTCTTCCCACATCCTTTCTATACTCCCCAGCACAAATCCCCTATTCATTACTCTTCCTCATCCATCTGTCCACCCTCATCCTCTTCATACGTGCAACAAAATGAAATAAAAAAAATGAATAAAGGAAATGAAAATCAACAATTAATTGAGTATAGACTGAAGGAAAATAAGTATACATGATAATTTATGGATACATTAATTATTTCACATGTAAATATTTCTATGTTAAAAGCAAAATAATTTAAATTCCATTCAGATCAGATGATCCTATCATTGCTTTTATTGAAACTGAAATTTTGCACTTTGCTTTGTTTAAAAAAAAAGTCACGTCGAACTAAAATGATTACAGGAATCACCATTAAATACAAAATCTTACAAATTAATAATTTTGCCTGTAACTGTTATCATTGTAACATTTTGGCTCTGACATCAGTCTGTGCTGATCACGTGGAGACGTGCCAGGGGATTTTACAGCAGATTATGTTTTTACAGCAGTGAAGTATAAACAGGCTTTTTTCCAGCTGTGAAACAATGAGGGATTGTGTTTGTGCAGTTTGGATGTGTGTCTGATGTGTGTGTTATTGATTGATATTGTTGTTATGTCAGCATGACTTTACCTTGGCAACGCAGTCTCAAAAACTCTTCAGGCTGTTTTAACGAGTGCCTTTTCTCTGAAGGAGAGAAATCCCTCCATCTGGCACCACAGAGTTGCTTTGCCCTGACAATGCACTTTTTTCCCCTTAACACCCCCCCACACCACCACCACCACCACCACACACAGTCTGCATTGTTAGAATAGTGGACTAATATGAAACGAGGATTCACTGCTTAATTTAAAAAAAAATCATTTTAAAACATCAACTATCATTTTATATTTAACAGTGCATTAAAACTAACAATTTTAGGTTGTTCTTACAATATTCATAAATAAAAATACAAACAAATTCATTGCCTGTTATAATGTGACACCAGGCAGAGTTCTGGCTGTATACAACTTGCATGTTCCCTTTCTGCACTCGTTCACGTTTCCAGCTGAGCTGCTTGTTAAGATTACTTTGACTCTGAGACCTTTCGTTGTTCAAGTCCAGTAATTTTGTTGCTTGCATGATTTTTTGCTGAACCATCCATTTAAAATACTACTTTTTGTTCCTTTTTTGAATGCTTATGCATTCTACTGTTAAAAAAAAAAAAAAAAAAGTATATTTGTCTTGTTACAGTGTGAAATAAGAAGCCTTTGTTTAAAAACTCAAAATGCAGTTTTATGCTTGCATATATAAAGCTTTTGTGAAACAAAATAATTGAAATCCTGTTTAAAAAACTAAGGAAAGTTTACATGCCATCAACTAAATCTAAAACATTTGTGCTGCATAACTATTTTTATTTCAACAATAGTTCAGTATAGATGGCTAATAAATAGTTTATAGATACATTATTAATTCCTCTATAAACTCTTTATAAATCATAAATAACTGATTATTATGCATTAATTAAGGGTAACAGAGACTTGAAACTGACCAGATTCTTGCCAAATAGTGAGCCAAATCTCCACCTATATATTTCATTGTTATATTAAACATTTCAGACTAAGTTACTACCTTGTAAGCACAATAAGCATTTGTAAACCTATTGTTTTAGGATATAATATTAGTTATAGATACTTATAAGTCAGTGATAAAGTACAATATTATATGCTAAAGAAATAGGTTTGCAAATGCTTATTGTGCTTACAAGGTAATAACTTAGTCTGAAATGTTTAATATAACAACTCTAGATAAAATATATATTTGGCAGATTTGGCTCACTATTTGGCAAGAAACTGGTCAGTTTTGTGTCTCTGTTATCCTTAATTAATGCATACTAAGCAGTTATTTATGATTTATAAAGAGTTTATAGAGGAATTAATAACGTACCTATAATCTATTTATTAGCCATCTGTAAGAAGAGCCTTATTGTAGTGGTACCAATATCTCTATATGAAGGCAGACTAGAAGTTTATGCATGCGCAATAAAAAGGCTTTTAAGATTTGTAATTTAAACAACATTTAAAATTACATCTTTGAAAAGTAAAAACAAAAGTAAAGTAAAGTAAAAGTCCTTCCTGCCAGCAGCTGTTAGACTCTACAACCATCACTGCTCACAACAAACTCGATAAGGATTAAATACATGCTGATCTCTGCTAAAACACACACTCTATTTACAATACAGTATTATAGGCAGTCTGTCCTTATCAATGTTCCAACACATATTGAACATTGTTATTGATATTGTTTATATATATTTTTTTTTAACATTTAGGAACTTTTGTGTGAAATCTTTTTATCTGTTGTTGCTGCGGTTACACTTGAATTTCCCATCCGTGGGACAATAAAGGCTGTTTCTATTCTATTTCTATTCTAAGTAGAACAATTAATAATGATTATGGCAAAAATAGTAACTTTATCCTTCATTCTTAATAGTGTTTGTACAATATTAAAGTTTCTCTTTTGACTTTTCTTGTTAAAAAAGTCCTATATGTTGTCTAATGGCTGCTGTGTCAAACACCTCTCAGATCTAATGGGATTTTTTTTAAAACTACAAAATAAACCCAGTGTGAACCCATCTTGTACATAACTCGATGCCCTCTCCAGCTGTTGCGGCAGCAGCTGCCAGGACTTAAATGAAGCGTGTTACCCCCGAGAGACACAGTCCTGCTCTGCAAATCATTATGGAAAAGACAAATGTTTCTGCTTAGTGATTTACTCATATCACTGCATAGAATCAAAACAATTTTGAAGCACATGCAGCCAACCTGACAAGTTCATGCATAAAATGTGAAACATTTTACAACACTGAATCATGCAAAGCTGTTTTTGGGGACTCATTTCTAGATTTTGAATACAGAGTTGAAAACAAATATGATAATCCCTGTATTAAAAATCTCAACACAGATTATCTGCTGCAAAATACAAACTCAATGTTTTAACACTGTAAAAAATGTTTAGTGAAGATGAACAAATATGGAGTTACATGTGATTCCAAAGAATTGTCTTTTGGCCTCGCCTTTGAATACTTTTCCAAAGGCACACTGGACAGCTTGCCTTTTTGTCATAAAGAAAACCAAAAGTAAAAAAAAAAAAATAAATAATGTAATATTGCATGGACATCGGGGGCAGTTCCTCTGGATTGGCAGACCAAGGTGGTGGCCCCCCTATTTAAAAAGGGGGACTGTGTGATCCAACTAGAGGGGGATCACACTCTTAAGCCTCCCTGGTAAGGTCTATTCAGGGGTTCTGGAGAGGAGGGTCCATCAGATAGTCGAACCTCAGATTCAGGAGGAGCAGTGCAGTTTTCGTCTTGGTCGTGGAACACTGCACCAACTCTACACCCTCAGCAGGGTCCTGGAGGGTGCGTGGGAGTTTGCCCAACCAGTCTACATGTGCTTTATGGACTTGGAGAAGGCGTCCGACCACATCCCTCAGGGAACCCTATGGGGGGTACTCTGGGAGTATGGGGTACCAGGCCCTTTGATACGGGTTGTTAGGTCCCTGTACAACCGGTGTCAGAGTCTGGTCCGCATTGCCGGCAGTAAGTCGGGCTCATTCCCAGTGAGAGCTGGACTCTGCCAAGATTGCCCTTTGTCACCGATTCTGTTCATAACTTTTATGGACAGAATTTTTAGGTGCAGCCGAGGTGTTGAGGGGATCCGTTTTGGTGGCCTTAGGATTGCTTCTCTGTTTTTTGCAGATGATGTGGTCCTATTGGCTTCATCAGGTTGTGATCTACAGCTTTCGCTGGAGTGGTTCACAGCTGAGTGTGAAGCGGCCGGGATTAGGACCAGTTCTTCCAAATTCAAGATCATGGTCTTGAGCCATAAAAGGGCAGAGTGCTTTCTCCGGGTCAGGGAGGAGGTCCTGCCCCAAGTGGACGAGTTTAAGTATCTTGAAGTCTTGTTCACGAATGAGGGACAAAGGGAGCGAGGGATTGATAGATGGATAGGTGCAGCATCTGCAGTGAAGTGGGCGCTGTACAGGTCTGTTGTGGTGAAGAGAGAGCTGAGTTAAAAAGCAAAGCTCTCAATTTACCGGTCAAGCTACGTTCCTACCCTCATCTATGGTCATGAGCTTTGGGTTGTGACCGAAAGAACGAGATCTCGGATACAAGCGGCCGAAATGAGTTTTCTCCGCAGGGTGTCTGGGCTCTCCCTTAGAGACAGGGTGAGAAGCTCGATCATCCGGGAAGGACTCAGAGTAGAGCCTCTGCCTCTCCACGTCGAGAGGAGCCAGTTGACGTGGCTCGAGCATTTGATTAGGATGCCGCCGGGACGCCTCCCTGGTGAGGTGTTCTGGACACATCCCACCAGGAGGAGACCCAGAGGAAGACCCAGGACACGCTGGAGGGACTATGTTTCTCAGCTGGCCTGGGAACACCTTGGGATTCACTCGGAGGAGCTGGCCCAAGTGGCTGAGGAAAGGGAAGTCTGGGCCTCCCTACTTAGGCTGCTACCCCCGCGACCCGACCCCGGATAAGCAGAAGAAAATGGATGGATGGATGGACGAATGGATGAAAACCAAAATAAATATGACACAATTAACAGGAGCCCAAGGAAATAAAGGGATTAGGAGCAAAATATGGTTTTCAAATGATGACGGGATGGTTAACACTTGGTTCTGGTATTCAGGCTAGAATTCAAACAAATTTAGAGTTAACTGTGAATTTCCAATCTAGATTGAGAGTAGAAAACACTTTGACAAGGGTAAACAACATACACACCACAAAGTCACTTCTTCACCCTGAACACAATTATTATCATCTTCATTTTGGCACGTTATCCAGTTTAAAAACACATATATTTCCATTATTAAATGCATTCTTTGTCTCTAATCTATGCAGGAGCTGGAGGCTGGTCTCCTCTGCTGTCAGATAAATACCAGTGGTTGGAGGTGGATCTGGAGAGACGGACCCAAATCACTGCTGTCGCCACACAGGGCCGCTACGGCAGCTCTGATTGGCTGACGGCCTACCTGTTGATGTTCAGTGACACAGGGCACAACTGGAGACAGTACCGGCAGGAAGACAGCTTAGGGGTAAGTTTCCTGTCACCAGTAAATATTCATTTATTCATGTTTAGCAACAATGTACAAACTAACAGAGACACAGTTTAAAAATCCTTTGAAATCACAAATGCCCAGCTGCAAAAAAAGATAACTGAGATATGATGAGTATGAAATTAACATGGTCACATTTGTTACAGATTACACACCCTGGAGCCAATAATGTTTGGAGTTTTTAATTAAATAATTTTCAAAACTTGTCACCATTTTTCAGTTAATTTTTCCTGTGATATCTTAAACCCAAAACAAACAAACAAACAAAACAACAACAAATGGATTGGAACAAGATTTCAATTGGCAGAAGTATTGAAATGAGGTTGACTTTATGACTGAACTAAATTATATGTATTATATTGATGATGAGGAAAAAAAGTAATCCAGAAGTGAAAGAAAACCAGTGTTCTACCTTTAACATGTCTATAATTAGAAAATGACCATTAACATTAATATAGTTATGCTTTATTAGCCTTTAATTTTATAAGTAATTGTTGCACGTATTATTATTTTTTATTATTGTCATTCTTATGACCAAAAATATCCAGTCATTTAAAGATAAATTCAGTTTTACATTAATAAAAATTTAACTTCATTAAGACCCTTTGCTTTGAATTTTGTGAATCTTTATTACATTTAAAGAGATGTCTGTCATTATGTTTTTATGAATCAAACATGTGGACAGTGATGAAGAGGTACTGAAGAGAACAGGACTTTAATAACTTTTAAAAAAGCTGAAAGACAGTAAGCTGGAAGAATAAGTACTGAGAGGAATGTTGATCGAGTGAGTGCAGCTGGGCTGATTGGTAAATGAGGAACAGGTGAGAAATAGGAATCGAAAGCAGCTTTGAACAAGAGGAAACAATGCTAACTGACATGGGGAGGAAACATGCAGGAGATTATAAATGAAGCAAGAATAAAACATTGTAAAATTACTAAACACTTTAATAGAGGCTAAAAATAGTTGTTTAGATCATTTTTACTGCTATTCAACTCATTGCTTCTATGTTGTTTTTATTGCATTTATTTATGATATATTGTGTTTTTTACGTCCCATTTTTGGTATTATGTTATCTTTATTTTCATTTAATTTACAGCACTAAGTACTTTGAGTTACCTTCGCGTTTGAAAAGTTATTTATGAATAAAGTTAAGTTGAGTTGTTTTGGTTGCCGTACACTAACCTGGACCTTGTTTCTTTATTGAAGGAAAAACTCTTTGGTATTTTTAGCATACATTTTATTTAAATTATTTATAGGTATCAAAATTACAGGAAGCCATGTTGCTATACGTTTACTGAACGTTGGATTTAAATCAGAAGCAGTCAGCCATGTCCGCCTCTTTCTTAGAAGAAAAAAAAAAACAGCCCTCTTCTTATTGAAGCAGCCTGAAGAGCAACTTTTAATTCAAATTTGACAGATGATTTTCTCTCTGTGTGAAGGTTACACATTTTCTCTGGCAGAGATCACTAGAAAGAATAGTGGTATGACTTTTTAAAGCTTAAAAACTGTTAATCTGACAGGCAGCATGAAAGATGCTGCATCCAAATTAAAATGTTTTAAAGCTACATAGTCATGGTAGCTTAGTGTCCCAGAAAAGATGAAGAATTTCACTTTAAATCCCACCTCATCATCAGTCACAGCTTCCCTCTGACTTTAGCAACTCACATTTTTTTTTTCCTGTCCGTTCTTAGTGGAAAATGAAATACTTAAGTAAAGAAACAACCAATTGAACTTGTTTGAACTAAATAATATTGTGCTTTTTTTCATTCACATTAATTTTTGACTTGTTACCACAAACTAATGACAGCTGTTATTGAAAACAAGGTTTAGATCATATGTGTCAAACTAAAGGCCCGGGGGCCAAATGTGGCCCTTGTTGACATCTTATCTGGCCCCCAAGATGATATGTGAAACGCAAAATACTTCTATCTCTTGGATTTTTTTCAGCATTCTTTGATTATGATGTCAAAAGCACAACAGAGAGCATCAAATGAGACCAGTTAAACGCTTGTTGAGGAACCTGTGACTAAGAAAAGATGTTGGGTATCTGATTTGAGGAATGTAGTTTCTGAAATTGGCCCTTAATTTGAAAAATATTTTAATTTTGGCCCCCATTTGTAAGTGAGTTTGACACCCCTGGTTTCGATGATCTACAGGAAATTGGGAACAGAACACAATTCAAATATATATTGCTGAATAAAATATTCAAACATGAACTATTCTAATATAGCAGTTCCTTAATGACATGGACATGACCCCTGAAGGTGAAGAACATACTGTTTTATTCTTTTAATGACAAAAAGTGATGCTGCTGAAACTGTTGTTGCTGCTTCTGCTTTAGCAAGATTAAAAAAAAGTTATTTTAAAAGATTTTAAATTAAGTATTCTAATATTTTTTAGACGGGCACATCTTCAGCCACTGTTGCTCTTCCCTCTTCTTTGTCCCAGTCCCTGCCTATGTCTCTCTTTGACTGAAAGCTTGTCAGAAGCTACTCATATTTCAAAAGGTTCTCGGGCGAGTAAGAGAGATGCCATTCTCCTCAGCATCCTCAGCGGGAAACAGAGCCATTTGTTGAGCTTAACGCCTCGCTGCCCAGCCGGCTCAGTCCTTCAAAGCACTGAACGGCACTGAGATCACAATTATGCAGAGCCAGGGAAGCCAATCTTCCTCACAAAGCCTCATCAGTACACACTCAGCAGACGCACACACGCAGAGAATGTCACAAACTCCTGAGTAAGTAGGGCAGACATGAGCAAAGCATATGCATTTAAATACATGAACACATGGCTGCAGCTTGTTTTTGGTGTTTATTGGTCCCTTGCAGGATAGAAAGGCAGGTGTTTCTCTGTGAGTGCCTGTCAACCACAGGGACTCACTGGGTTTTCACAGGCAGCTGATTGAGAAAATGGAACCCATTAGTCTTTTAAGAGAGGCTTGGTACGAACATAGAATAGGATCCAGCGTTATTGATCAACGAACAGAGATGAGGGGAAAGGGAGACACATCATCAGCAGATAGGATCAATGGCCTGGGTTAGCAGAAAGTTTGAAAATGCATACGGGTGTCTCAAGACTGGCGAGGAAAGGGAAACTTTTTCTCCACACTGAGTTTAAAATAATGAGAACTAGTGCTGCATCCTTTTCATCTGAAGAACTTTCAGGGGTTTTATCTGCATTTTGGTATTTTTGCCAAAGGTTTTTTATAGATTTTTACTGTCATTAAAAACCATGAAAGTGGATTTCAAACACAAAACTGTAATTATTTTAATTGTAACTCAAGGTACTTTTTACATTACTGATAAAAATTGAATTGTTCTCTCAGTTCAAATGTCTTAACTTAGACTGGACTATTGCAATGGTTTGTTATCTGGGTGTCCAAATGCTTCTTTGAAAAGTCTTCAATTAATCCAAAAATGCTGCTGATCTTGTTGTTCCATATTTTCCTAACAGAGCACTTCGCACTCAGACTGCAGGCTTACTCGCGGTTCCTAGAGTTTCCAAAAGCAGAAAGGGAGGGAGATCTTTCAGTTATCAGGATCTTCTCTTGTGGAACCAACTTCCAGTTTCTGTCCATAAGGCTGACACATTGTCCAGTTTTAAGACTGGGCTTAAGACTTTCCTTTTTGATAAATCCTATAGTTAGGGTTGGCTGCCTTAAGCTTAGACTACTAGATGACAAAATGACCCCATTTCCTTAAATTATTTGCTAAAATTGAATAGTTTTCATTTGATATTATTTCTATCTAACATGTGATTCTCATCCTGCCATTGTGTATCTGTTCCTCCTTCCTGTTTCCCTCAAACCCAGCTGGTCAAAGCAGATGGCCACTTGTCCTGAGCCTGGTTCTGCTAAAGGTTTCTTCCTCATGAGGGAGTTTTTCCTTTCCACTGTTGCCTTCATGCTTGCTCAAGATGAGATGGAGTTAAATTAAATGCAGTCTGCTCCTCAGATAAATAGTGTTAACTTATTGTTTAATGTATATGAACGTTTCTGTTCAGTGCCCTGAGACGACTTCTGTTGTGACTTGGCGCTTTATAAAAAAACTGAATTGAACTGAACTGAACATGTCATCTTTCTAGAAGTTGAAGCAAACTACCATGTAATTGTTCTGTTGAAGTCTTTTCCAGGTAACAGTAACGCTGACTCTGTGGTCCAATATAAACTTGAGCAGCCAGAGATCGCACGCTACCTTCGCTTGGTTCCTCTGGACTGGAGCCCCAATGGAAGGATTGGACTCCGGCTGGAAATATACGGCTGCAGATACAGTAAGTCTGTCATCATTTATTCCTGCACCAAACCAAGCACTGGCCTCTTCTTCATAAACCAGCATGCCCTGATTAAAACATTAAATATAGGCTGAATCTGGACTTTATATGTTCATGTTTAAAATATATTCTAACAAACTGTGTTAGACAAAATATCCATTACTTGATGATGGATATTAGACATTGATCAGTTATCTGTACTGCCTTACACTGAACTTAGATTTGGGAGCAATTAATTTAATTGTCAGCACTTGATTGGATTTAAAAGACATAAATTGTCTGTTGTTGCTCTAATAAACACTGAAACATATGTTTTCATTTTCTTATTATGAATGGACTGTAATAAATGACTGTAATTAGTTGCTGAATTTTAATCAGATAGTTTAATGAATTAAAACAGTACAGATTTATTTGGAAAGTTTGCTGAAAACTGAGTTTGTAGAAAATTAATAATGTTCAGAATCTCAGACTCCCTTACAAACAAATATTAATATTCATCCAGAATATATGAATGTTTAATTTTATTAGTTTAATCAATAATGCAGGGAAAGCGGTGACATGTTTATAGATTCACAAAAAGTCTGCTCAATAATGGTAAAAGTGATTGACCCTTTTTATGTCTACTCTTCAGTGAATAATAGAAACACAGTCTTCACAGTTTTGCTTTAGACATCAAACTTTTCAGCACTTCTTGACAAAAACGAATCAAAAATGCACAAACTTATGAAAATACAAATCGGTATTGCTCAAACAATACAAATACTTATTGTTTGTCAGCTGATTGTTGATAATGCAGTCATTTCTGAAACATTCATCAAGACAATACAAAGTATATGTCACAACTCTTTGCTACTATCCATTTATTCAGTGCCTAAAACAAATTTATTAAAACAGTTTCAAACTATCTTAATTTCAGATATTCTTTGTTCTGCGTTTAAAATAATTTGCGCAAATAATTGTGACCATCCAAACTGAATGTTAAGAATTTGTTGACAATCTTACCAAAGTGAATTTACAGTATTTTGTAATGCAGTAGTCCCTCTCTACTTCACGGTTCATTTTTCGTGGTCTCCCTCTATCGCGGTTTTTCAAAGTAAGATTGGACATGACACACAATGGCTGATTGATGGATGAGCCGCATGATCGGCATGAAATTTTTATTAAAAATACATTTGTTTAAATGATTTAGCACCCGTGTGCAACCCACAGCTGTGGGATAACTTCCTGCTGATCAGCTGATCTCTGCTTGTCAGAGCAGAGAAGTGGGCGTGGCCAAGTGTGACCGAGGCAGAGAGCTGAAATCATGACATTCTGTGCTCTTTTAGAGCGTTTAGAGTTTAGAAACTTTGTTTAGAA